AGGCTCTCCACTATTGTGCCCCTGTCTCTTCTCTGGCCTCCTCCCACCGACTCTAAAAGCCCTGCTCTGCTCTGGCTGCCCTATGCCTCCACACTTTGTAGCCATACATCTCTCCACCCACTTCTCATCTTAATAGATGTTTGGCAAAAGCCAACTTCAGTGTCCTGGGGAAGCATTTCAAGAGGCTGCCTCTAAGAAGAGACTACATAAAAGCAGGGACTGCCTGTACCTCCGAAAGATCTAAGAAAACTCTTCCCAATTCGATGCATTTCACAACCCTTGACTGGGGCCCATTCTGGGTCCAATGTTGATTGCACTGGAACATCTATTTCTAAGAACTGGCGAAGACACGTGGCACTTGCATTTCCAAACCACTGGCACAGCTTCGCTTGGACTGAAAACAGACAACGCACTGAGAGGCCAGAACAAGTGACATTTGGAATCTGCACTCAAATGAAAAAGAACAGGATCGTTTTATCTATATGAATACTCCTATCAGCATACGAGGCATACTGTCTTCCGGAAGGCTCTTCTGTTCATGTGGGCTCTGCAATTCACCCCACAACCCAAACACAGGGATCTTTCAAACACTTGGCAACTCGCTTGCTGGTAGGAATGGAGAAATTAGAGAATAAATTCCATATCCATAGGAGAAGCAAATTGCATTGCTTTTCAAGACTGGTTCTATCCGACAGCATTACAAACAGAAAGAGGTGAACTACCCTGACACCCCATATCCAGTGTCTGTACTGTTCTTCCCAGGAAACCGTGACAAAACACTTAGCAAGGGGCATTGCGTTGGTTATGCCCACGTTACACACCAAAGTGCCCAGGTTTCATGTCTAGCTCCTGACCCCAGCTTCCTATTAACACAGAGACCTTGGACAGCATGGAGGATGGTTCAAGTAATTAGGTGCCTGCCGTTCCTGTGGGAGACCAGGCATCCTCTGGGGAACGAACCAGCATATGGGATTGCTAGCCATCTGTCTCTCAAATGCACATGATTTTTAATAAATAAAAACTCAGTAAACATCAGGTGTTCTATGAATGCAGAATAATAAAAGTAACACAAACACTACCTATGGTTGGTTAAACAGAAGCCTCAAGCCAAAGCACTTTAAAAGCAAACATCTTTCGTGGCTCTACTCGGAGCGCACTAGACTGTAGGTTCCTGGAGATGGCTTAGGGAAAGGTTCTCGAAGCATCCCGGGGCATCACTGTGCCCACCCGCAACTAGGCACTCAGCCAGTATAAGAAGTGGCATCAGAGCCACTCCTAATAAGTTACAAAATATTTTCAAAATTGTTCTTTGCAGATCTTCCTGTCGCTGTGTAGGGATGCTGTGAAAGGACAAGTTTTGCAACAGATACTCCAGGGACAGACACACTGGCTGATGCTCGGGCTACCCACAGCCATGACAGAGTGTCTGGGCTAAGTCGTGGCTGCTCCATTTTCAATTCAGCATCCTGTTCATGAGCCCGAGAGGCCACAAGTAACTTTACCAGCCCCTGCCAGGTGTGATCAGGAGTTCCTGGCCTCGGCCTAGCCCAGCTATGCTTGTCATGGGCACTAGGAGAGTGAATCAATGAACAGGAGAACCCTTCCTCGTGCTGTTGCTCTCTATCATGGTGATTAAAAAAAAAAAAAAAAAAAAAAAACCTTTTACTTTTATTAACGTCCAATACACAGACATGAAGCTCCAGGCTAAACAGTCAAGTTCACATCAGTCCTTCTCTCTCACTCTGGCTTCAAGCCAATTAAATTTCATTCCACTTGAAAGAGCAACGGGGCTGAAGGTAAAAATGGTCTTAACCCTCTTCAGGGATCAGCCCCACATGGGGATCCACCTGCACCTCAGATCCTATTTTAATAGAGGGGTTTCTGTTCTCCCATGCCATAACAGCAGACATGCAGGTCCCAGTGCACCTGTTTTAGTTGGGCCTGAAGCTCAACAAATGCTCCAGTAGACCACAGCAGCTATATAATTTGAACAAACAGTCAGCTTTCCCAGGATTGACACTGGTTGGTTCACTAATTGAATAACGTGTCAACATAACCAAATGTTTGCCTCCTGCCGTCTCAGGGAGGCAAAGTCTTCCCCTGGGCAGAATGTTCCATTTTCCCAGGTTCTCCCACAATTGGCAGGGGACTGCCAACCCTGCGTGTCCTTTACATTAGCCCTGTACAGTTTTCCTTCAGTGGCCTTTCTGTGGAACCCTGGGAAAGGAAAGGCCACCCGTCACTGCCACGAGGAAGCTCAAAAAATAAAATCTCAATGTCAAGTTCAAGTGCCTGTTTCCCACTCACACACTGAGAAGCACTGAGCTCGGCACGTTTCTCAGGAATAGCAGAGACAGGTGACTGCATAGCTCACGTTAAGCTGACGAGCAAACAGAAGTCCCATTACCAACCACTGCACCTGTGCTCTTCGCCAAGAGACTCAAGTCACACTGGCCCTTGAGTCACTGCACGGAGGCTTCTCTGCCCAGAATGAAATGTCGTATGGGATCCAGAGCTCCAGCAACTAACTGCCTTGCTCCCAGCTCAGTCAGGGGCGCCAACTGCCAACTACTGGGAGAGGGGGGAAAAAGTCCGGCAAAATGCTTTCACCTAACTGGGTGTGAACCCAGCCCCAGGGGTGACTGTCATTATGTAAATGGCTTTGTCACAGAGCTAAAGCCAGAGCCATTGAGAGAAAGCCCTGCAGGAGTCTGCAGTAGCCTAATACAAGACCCTGATGTGGTGGGGGGGGGGAGTGGACAGCAACCAGGGAGCCAGTGTCATGGCACAGTGAGTAAAGCCACCACCTGCAATGCCAGCAATTCTGTGTATATCCCTGCTGCTCCACTTCTGCTCCAGCTTCCTGTTGACAGACCTGGGAAAAGCAGTAAAAGATGCCCCACCACCACCACCACCACCACTTTTTGGGTCCCCACCACTCACACAGGAGACCTGCAGGAGGTTCCTGGCTTTGTCTCTAAGATTAGGGTACTCTTAATAGTCCTTAACTCTAAAACATCCCCCAGAGGAAGAGGCCAAACAGTCCCTGAAAAGGAAAGCATTGACCAGGAAACACCCCTTGTAAAGCACAGGCCTTTCACACCAGCAAGGGACTACCCCAAGCGCAGAAGTGGTTCCCAAGAGGAACGAGGAAAAAAACAGAAGTTACAATGAAGTGCAAAACGCCAAGAAGAAAATGAACACAAGCTCCTAATTTTAGCAATGTTATAAAATGTTATAAAATTCCCCCCCTCCTCCCTACCCTCACCCCCACCCTCCAAAAAAAAAAAAAAATACTGCCCATGAGCTGAGATTCATCGAATCTGTGCATACAGCCCCTAGGTTACTTAGGGGATGAGAGGAGGAGCAGAAAAGCAGGAGGCAATTCAGCATTTTATGTGGCCTTTAGGGAGATAAAGATGACTTTTTTAAAAAAAAATGAAGTGCATATTTGATTTGAAGATTCCACTCCTCTAAGTCAAAGGCCCTAAATGGGAAGCCACTGATTTTCTTTTTTTAACAAGCCTCGCATATGCTCAGCTCTGGGTACGACCGTTCCCTTCACGACCCTCCAGAAACATCCACACACACTTGGTCCTGCTCCCGACACAAGGCTCAGCAGCACCCCGACCGCAAGCCCCACACAGACTCAGGAAAAGCCGCAAACCCACCTCCCCACCATCCCAATCCCCACCCAAGGGGAAAAAAAAAACCCACAGCATGCCCCTTAGCTTTTACACAGCAAGAAACCCACAGATAGTGTGTGTGCCTTGGGGCTCCTGAACAAACTCCTAAAAGGCAAAGTGTTCATCTCTCAGCAGTCACAGGAATATCCCCTCTCCCCTTTGGATGTAGTTAACATGTTAACCATCCTGAGTGCCCAGCACTTGAAAGACTGAAGATTTCACACACACAGCAGCTTTGCTTTCCACCCAAGGATCTTACACCAGTGCACGGCTTCAAATTCACCATTAAGAGGATGCCTCTTTTAAATCAGTAATTCCACTAATAGCTAGTTCACTTCAAAGGGCCACCCCCAGATGGTGATCCCCCACCTAGCAAGTAGCCTGGGTGGGTGCACACAACTTGAGGCTGACAATCCCACGAGCTTTCTTTCCAGGGGCGAAGACGGGAAACTGAGAAAGTCTTTCCCGGGGTTCATCCAGGACAAATCCCAAAAGTGACAACCTGTGATGGCGCTTCTCACCAGTTCGGTGGGTCCCGTCCTTGGGCCATTTAACAGCAACCTGTCTCCCTGTCTGCCTTCCTGCCTGTGGACACCCATTCAATGCATGTTGTCCAGCAAATCCCATCTCTCTCTCTTTTTTTTCCCCACGAAGTGGTAGGCCACGGAGCAGGGCAGCTCGGGTGACACATTTGAGGACCCACCGACCAGGGCAGAGAAAGGAGGAAAGCAGCCTTGGGAAGCTTATGGGGTTGGCGTACCTCACCAGAATAAAAAGCAAAGAACACCACAGCAGCTCAAGTACCAGGGAGAAAGGGCGTGAAACCCGCGTTCCCCAGACCAGAAGCCCACCCACAGGGCAGGGATGGAGCTGAGGGTCGGGGGACAGGATGGAGTTGGAAAGAGGAATAGCAGGGACGCCAGAGGGCTCAGGGTGGAGCCCCAAGGTGGTGGCCGGCAAGGACGGAGATGGAGCAGGTGTTCGACACAGCAAACCAGGGACGACCCCGGACATGGGACTGGGAGCGGGGACAGGACTCACTCGGGGAGGTCCAGCGGAGTCATCCCCAGCGCCTTGCCGGGGCGCGCGGTACACTTGGAAGCAAATCCTTAAAAAACCTTCCGCTGCCCCCATTTGAGAGGCGGGCACCGACGAGGCCAGCCCCGCAGCTCCCCACTCCTGGGTGATCCCCGGGCCCCAAACCCTAGCCCTAAGCCCCTGAGGCAGGCAAGTTCCAGACCCTCCCGGACGCAGGGGGTCGCTGGCGGCCTCGAAGGCCGACGGCGCGGGCCCACGCAGGGAGGGAGCCGGTACCTGGGCTCCGGCAGGACGATCTTCTTGCTGGCACGGGCGGCCGGAGTGGCCTTGCTCTTCTCCATGGCCATCAGGTAGCTCACATCGGCCAGCACGGCCTCCAGGTCCGCCATGTTGGCAAGTGGTGCTGGCGGCGGCAGCGGCGGCGGCGGCGGCGGCTCCTCAGGACCCGGACGGGACGCGTTCCCGCCGCCGCCGCCCGCCCGTCGCGGCCCGACGTTGGGGGGCCGCCCCGGGGCAGCCCCCCCTTCCGTCTCCCCGCGCGCCTCCGCCCGGCGCGCGCGCGCGCGCACGGATCCCCACACACACACACACTCACACAACCGCGCGCGCGCGCCACCAGCGCCCAGGCGCGCGCCACCGCGGCTTCGCGCCTGCTGGGGTCGCCACCCGCCCCGCTCCGCCCCACTCACCCCTCCCCTGCGCACGCGCCCCTTCCTCCCGCCACGGTCTCTAGGGAGTGCGCGCCCCAAAACGTCCTAGCTCCTCGTAGTCCCTCCCCGTCCCCTCGGATCCCCTCCTCTCTCCCTCGGGGTGGCCACGAGGGACTTCCTCTCCCTCCTCCTTCTCCTCCTCCTCCTCCCGCCTATCCTTCACCCTGCCCGCTGTCCCCCACTTCCCACTCCTCCCAGCGCTGTACCCTACCCCAGGAGAGCAAACCCTCCCTCCTGGCGCGCGCGCCATCCACACACCCAAGGGACCGGAGCACGGGCAGAGCTCCAACTGGACATTGTTCACAGCATCCCTCCGGGAGGTCAGGATGCACAAGTGTTTCACCTGTCCCCCAGGTGATAGTGAAAAGCCCTGCTGGTAGGAGACACTCTGGAACCCTTCACCTGCCCCCTTCCCACCCGCCTCCTCCTCTGAACCCAGCTGGGCAGAGTTCCTGGGCTCCTTGTTATGCCAGGCCACCCGCAGCGAGAGCGTCCTGCTGGGAACCGCGCGTGGGCAAAGAGCCCTGGGTGCCGGCCCGGTGGCCACTGCCTGGCACTCATAGCTGATTCAAGTCACCGCTCGGGAGCACCTCGGAGAGTCACCGTGCAGAAGAGGGTGGGGGAGGGGGGTCAGGTTTTTAGGGAAGTGCAAACCCCCCAGGCATGCGGGAATTTCCAGCTTCCTGGTCTTCACTCTGGGTGTCTGCGGTCACCAACACCCCTGCCTGGGGTTTTTTAAGAAGCAGCTTCTTATTTTTTTTTTGTGTAGTGATGTGCACAAATTGACATTCAGAAACCTGGAGTGGAGGGGCGGTGGGGGGGGTGAGGCTGGGGCTTTCTGCCTAGAATGGTATTAAGGGACACTTGGGAAATCAATACAACCCCTCTCACACACGCACATATACACGCATACGCACACATTACCCACCCACTTCCCAGAAGAATCCCTTTAATTCATTGGAATTGGCCACAGGGCATCTGAAACCTCAGACGTAGCAAGAATTTGATGCATGCTCTGCCAGCAGCTTTAAGGGTTAACAGAACCCACCAGAAATAGCTAAAGGTCAAAATTTGGCTAAGGTCAAACTTTGGATGGTTCCTGGAATGTCTGACAAAAAAAAAAAAAAAAAAAGCCAATTCCCCCATCACCAGAACCCAGTCCTCTCTCCTCCTCTCGCCCCTCCCCCCACCACGCCTGTCACCACAATGGGTCAGTTCTCAAGATCTAAGGTGTCATGTGTGTGACAACTGTCCCCTAAAGGGCAACAGAAAAGAAGGAGGAGTGTGCGGCATGGGGGCTTGGATCTGCACAGAGAGCAGAAATGATGAAAGAACACAGATCCATGAAGGAGCCCAAGATATGCATAAGGCAAATATCAAACTTCATCTTCCACCCACTTTTTTTTTTTTTTTTTGCCTAAAAACAGGAACACAGAATGTCTTATCAAAGCTCACTCAGGAGGAAGAGTAAAGTTCCCTTCCCTGCAAGAAAAAAAAAAAATAGCAGAACATTTTCTTATGATTTAATTACTACCGTTCCTTTCAATGTTGTCTGTTTATCATCCAAGCTTTTCCATGATCAGCTTGTCCAGTGTTCTGCCTGCACTTTCTGGGTCCTCAGAATGTGTCAAAGATACTTTGTGGATGTCTCTTGCTGTTTTGTTGTTGTTGTTTATTTGTTTTAATCAACAACATGTTTGGGGGTGTAAGTTTGAGGCAAGACACCTCAGGTCAAACCCCTGTGCCCCCGGGCTGGGTCCCATCAGAAGTGGCATTTCACTTCTCTGTCTTTTATTGCCCATCTAAGTAAAGCAGTTGTGTGACCCCAGGGTTGTTCAGACAGAGGAGAAATGGCACATAAAAAAAGGCACCTAGCCTGACACCCAGCGCAAATCCCCCTGCACCAAGGTCATGCTTTTCCTCTGTGTATCTGGCTTCGTTTTACCCTCCCATGCGAGCAAATGACACAGAAAGCAGCTAGTAAGGGTCATTCAACTTGAAGCAGGAAGACCCCCCCCCCTTTACCAAAAATAACAGCTCCCTGAGGGCATTTCCAGGCACCAGCATGGCAAGCTAACATGACTAGCCTTCATAAACAAAGAGCCATCGCTTTTCTCACTGCAAAAACAGGGAGTCCAAATTCTGTTCCTCTCACCAAAGGCCCTAACCCCGTGGAAGTCTGTTAACTCAATTACCCCCAGGGGTATTTTTCTTTTTCCTCGCATGAATCATGTGTGAACTTCTGTTCCCTATCTTTCTTTCTTCTTTGCAGTCTCGCTTTCTCTATGCAATGCCCCCCCCCACACACACACACACAACACCCCTGTCTTCTTTCCCTGGATTCTCTCAATACTAGACAGTGTGTGTGTGTGTGTGTGTGTGTGTGTGTGTGTGTTCACTGGAAACAAAAGGCATTAATGACAATGATGAAATTGTCATAACCAACCTGTTGGATTCTGGCCCGCCATCCGGTAACCATTCTAATTCAGAGAAGACAGATAGCAACCCATTTGTACTGGGCCCATTTGTAAGGCTCCCCTACAAATCATAGGGTCCCCAAGCTCCCCCCACCAACCCCTGCACCTCTACCCCAAGAAGAATTCAGTGACTGCTCCCAATAACAGAGAACAACTCCAGGCTTGCTGCAAACCTTCACCAAGTTCCCTGTCTCTGATCTACAACCTCTCCCATTAGGGAAGATGTGGCTAAGACAGGTGAGTTAAAAGTCTAAGCTCTCTGGAGCGCGGTTTCCGATGACAGCTCCAAATGAGGATGGGGAAGAGATGCTCACTCGAACACTAGTGGGTCTGTCTTGCTCGTTTTAGATTCTGGACTTTTCTGAGGCTTCCTAATCCCAGAAGCCATAGACTCTCAATGCTAGCAATGGAGAAATGTTGTCCTGGGAAATTAACCACAAATGAGGGGGAAAGAAAATCAACTCTGAAGGTTCCAATTGGAAGACTTCAGAAAAGTAGGGAGGGGAAAAATACCTGTTCTCCATGCACTAAAATCATAATATGTAAGTCAATGGCTGCTATGAGAGTTACTTGATTTTTCAGAAAGCACTCCCTTAGATATAGTTGTTGCTCAAGAAAATTGCAAGCAATTGGCATTTCCGTGGTTTTATATCCAAGCCTCTTCCTGTGTAAGGGCTCTGTAAGTGTCTTCTCTGGGGACCACCGTTCATTTCTCCTGTAACTTAGCTCCCATTTCTACTTTAGTGGTGCCCAGAGATTAGGAGCTGCTTGCTGTGTCTACTTCATCAGCCAAGCTCTGCAGACACCTGGCAGCTCCAGACTTCAGACGATTGGCCTAAAGGCGTGATAACCAAACTTTGCTTTTAATTGCCCTGAAATGATGTCCAACACACACGTACCTGCCTTTTCAAATATGGCTAGAAACTCATTGCTCTGCAGGGAGAGAGAATCTGTTGAACAAGGAGCCAGCGATTGTTGGGGCTCAGAGTCTGGGACTGAAGCAGGACCCGTACTTCTGAGCTGTGTGACCTGGGGAAAGTTGTGTGACCTCTGTGTGCTTCTGCACTCTGTCTCTCTCTCACACACACACACACGCACATATACACAACAGTGCTAATGGATTGCTGTGAAAATGACGCTGTAACTCAGGAGGACGCAGTTGTTTTTATCTAGCAATTATGACAGTGATTAGGGCATCAGTGGCCCCCAAAGGCCAGATTTCCAACTCCAGCAGGAGTAGCTGGCACTTGAACAACAGCTCCGATGTGGGATGCTGGTGTCAACAGTGTCAGCTTAACCCACTGCACCACAACACTAACACCCAGTGCAAAATTAAGTAAATAATTGAAATGTATGCTTAGTTCCCCCTCCCCGTAATATGCATTGTTCACGGTCTTTTTAAAGACCCTCCTCATAGGGATGGATTTCAATTTTTTTTTTTTTGCACCAAAATAAATACATACCTTTTCATTCGGTTTTTTTCATGAACTTTTGTAATCCCTTTCTGTGTATAAAGTTCTCAGAACCATGTCTCATTATCATTGTGATCATCATTAGAGTATGTCTACATTATGCAAGAGGAAAAACCAGTAGTGCTAGCCCAGCTCTGACGTTCACGGATACCTCTAAGTCTCTAAAACCTTTTAAATCTCCCTTTCCACGGAGGGATTGCATGAGCCAGTCTCCGCGGCCCCTTCCAACTGTAAAATTCCCTGGCTTTATTTAATCCTGCTGTGAATCCTTTAGCAAAGTGAAGACTAGTCACACCCTTTGGTAACATGTTTTTGGCTGATTCAGACAACACCCAGGTCATTCCCCAGGCTCGGCGCCACTACGCTACAGTCCACAGGTTGAGTGAGCAGTCCATTCATCAACTGACTTCTAGAAACAAACTCATTTGTATTCGTTTCTTCCACTTATCTTTGGGCCTTGCTCAAGAGGTGTGTGTTGAATGAGCAAGGGAGCGAATAAATGGATGAATGACATCATAGTTTGCCTCAAAGATTCAGCCTTCCCCTGGGACATCATCCAAAGGGGCAAAAACATGCTCCTGAAAGCCACAAAGCCCCCATTAACAAGTGCACCCTATGAAAGAATGAGCCTTAAGCCAGGCCCTGTTGTTCCTCGATGCTGCAGTTGGTCCAGGAGGCCCCTCCAGTAGCAAGAATCCTGATGGGCTCAATCTACAGAGAATCTGCTAGCATCTATTGGGTTTGTATCCATTCATGGAATTCATGTGTCTGGGGGAGGGGATTGGTTTGTTTGCACACCAGT